AATTAGATAGCAGCACATACACATTTGACTTGAAGAATTAGTCTGGATATAAGGTCAAAGCATTTTTGGGTTGAATTTTTGAGATACTTTAAATATGTATTTGAAGTTAATTATACATTATTTTCAGTTAATAGTTATTTTTCATATTCCTACAGTTGGATTTTACATTTGATAAACACATTATTTATTTACATGATCCCAAATTCCAGAGGAGATAATGAACTTTAAATGGGGTATTCATATTGTCTTACTGACACTGCTATTATACCTTGAGTATAGAATTAATGTGAAAATACTACATCATCTGGATTATATCTCAGCTTTCTCACTCAGAAGTCCCATTTGATTGAAAAATTAAAGGACAGTGAGATCCCTACTAATGCTGAACTACCAGTCAGTATTCACAGAAACAATGTTTACCACACTGTTATTTTTGTGTAATTCTGTCAAAGTTGCTCAGCTAGTGAAAGATAAAAAAGGAAAAACTTGCATTCATAAGCTAAAAAGGAGATGGCAATGAACCAAAATTTCAGGAGGCAATAACCTTGAATGCAGAAGAGCAGCTCTGGTGTGTGGAGCAGCGTTCTGTGCAGTGCCCCAGGAGTCAGTGTCACACATCCCTCAGCAGGATGGGGCTGTTCACAGTTGTTCTTTGCCATCTCATTGCTCTGTTCTTTTTGACCATGTGTTCCTATAAAACAGAAAGCTACTTGCCTCTATAAACCATTATCAGTCCTGACAAATGCCAACAAAGAATTCTCTCCCATATGCACAGAGATTTACTTTTTTTAGCTGTCTCCATGCTGCTTGCAATTAGTTACCCACTCACAATTCAGGGACTTTGTCAGAAGTCCTGCATGTGAAATAATTATGGGCTTGGTTTTTCTGAAAGCAAATTGTTTCTCAGGTTATCTGCTTTCAAAAGTGTATGGCTGGCCTGGTTGCATGTTTTGTAAAGGGTTTTAAGCACATTTCAGAGTCACTGACACTGCAAATTTCCCCTTTCTTTAAGCTTTTAAACTATTTTTGTCTCTTCAGAGACAAAATCAGCTATATCAGCTATTCATGTGCTGTTTGTTTAAATTAGATTTTATTCTGTGATACAAACTGTACCTTGCAGCTTTGTTTGCAATGCCTGTACTTCCACTAAAGAGCAAACTTCATTCACACTTGGCTGTACTGAAAAATGGGTGCATATTTCATCTTCCTGATTTATGCTTGACCTGGAAAAATAGAGTGGGATTCAGTCAGAGTTCTTGTAATTTCCTCTTTCATAAGCACTTATTTAATCATTTGAAGAAATGTACAGTTGGTGCTCAAAGTAACATTTGTTAAGATATATTTAATAGAAATTTACATTTGCATTTGATATTCATGGACATGGGTACATGTATTTTTTTAAGAAAAGGTATTGTAACACTATGGCACTGCTTTTATAGCCAAAGTATAAAAAAATTTAGAAAACTGACATGTAAAGACTGCAGTTAATTCTGATACTGTATCTTATTAAATAGGATGAGTTTTGTTTTATAAAGTTATCCAGCACATTAAGCTGCATGCCTTAAGCTCTCTCTAGGATTGTGTTCCTGATAGGCAACTCTTTGGAAGGATGAAGCAAAGTCTGTAGTACCACTTTAACTACCTTCTGGAATACTGTACAATGGTAGAATAATTTATTTTGCTTTACAGGAGTTTGTCACGTATTGACTTTAATATTGTATTTTGGTAATAAACTTTTTTTGTTAAACTGTTTAGTCACTTTTATTTGGCCTCTATGAAATATGAATATAGAAAATCCAAACACTGAACCAGTGTTTAGAGAGAGGGAAATCTGTTGAGACAAAAAGTATTTGAAATACTTTACTGCCATTTCTTACTGTCATATGAAATTATTAGTATTAGATGTTATTACTAGTTTAAATACTGCTAATACAAGTTTTATCAAAGTAACTGTGGTGAGGAAATATGAAACTATTAAGTCAAAATATTTGTAAGCCTGCATACAGTTAGGGTGGCACCATGCTGAAGAACTGCAAATTCAAAATTCATAATGAAACTAGTAGGAATTTTTTCCCTAATTTAAATAAGAGTGAAAGCCTTAATCAGCTTTTTTTCAGGTGATTGACTTCTGCTTTTCCACCACATAAGCTAAAACATATCTTGAAACCTATTTTTAAATATACAGCATATTTCTTGGCCTTGCTGGAGCTTTTCTTCCCATCTTTCTCAGGAAAAAATAAAGTCACTTGGTGTTGCTGGGGAGAAAAGAGAGAGTTTGGGCAGGATACCCACTGCTGGTATCAGTTACATAAACAAGCAATCTTACCATTTTCTCATTGTTATTATTAGGGCCTTGGGCCTAATCTGTTGAAATAAAGGCTGGAACTACAAATGGCTTTAGATGCAACACTACAGAATGCTGTGTTAGGCAGCTTTTTCACATTTTCTCTAATGCAAAACCTGGGGAAAAAGCTCTTTGTAGTAGGATGCACTGTCCAGGTATTATCCTGTTCACTGGGCTAAAACACCTTCCTTGTTCAGCTGAACAAAGCCCAGGAGCCTCCTCAGGAGCTTCTCCCCCCTAAATGACCTGGCCATGAGTGACCACGGGGGGACTGGGCACCGAGGGTCCTGTGAGGGTTGGAACAGCCCTGGGAACTGGGAGGAAAGGAGCCTGAGCCCTGGCACACAGCACTGGGATTCAGTCACTGTCCCAGATCTCTGGCAAGTGTTCAGGGCTGGAATTGCTGCAGAGAGCTGATGCACCACAGGGAGCCTCTGTTCTGCATCCCTCGAGGCAGGTTTGGAGAGCTGTCACACAAAGGAAGGGGAGATACACCATTAGACCTGACCTAAGATTACCTGGCTAATGAAATCCACAATTGCTCAAGCCAAGATTTTTTTTTTTTTTTTTTTTTTTTTTTTTTTTTTTTTTGCCCAAAAGCAAAAACTTCAGGAGCCTGAAAAGCTTTAAAAGTTGGGAAAAGTGAGAACCCAGAAATTTGGCAAGTTTGCCACAAACCACAAGGCTGCTGAACAGAACTCAAAACACTGCAGACTTAAAATTTACTGGGGCAGAACTTGAGTCCTCCTACTTTTCCAGCTCATGGTAGCTCTTTCCAGAGTACAATCCAAGAGAAAACGCAAATAAACTGAATTTAAAGTTTCTTCCAACCATTTCCTGTTTGTAGATGTTTGGCATTTGCTGGGATTATGGCTAATTTGGTGCCAACATGAACACCCCGCTACTGTGATCTAGTTGGAAGAGAATGGGCAAACAGAATATTGTTAAATTTCCTTTTGTTACTTTGGCAAGTAAGAAGCCAGCATTGCAACAGTATTATACCAATACAGTTATGATATAATCATCAGTATTACTGATTGCAAGCTACAATTTGGTGACTTTTAATTTACATTTTATAATACAAGTTTTAGATATTAATGATATTAATATCCATCTGGAAGATCTTTAGTTCTTCTGGATTCTCATATTTGAAACATTACAAATCCATTACATCCATGCATGGGGTCATAAAACACGGGAGAATTAAGACAACTCTCCCTTTCTCTGGGATTTCTAAAGCTCTTCACTGATTATGTTTTCTAAACCATTTCAGTAACTGCTTGTTTTTGTAGAATTTACTTTTCATTGGCCTCTTTACAAGTAGTGGAGAAGTAGAACTGTTATTCCAGGAAATATCTTCCACAGCATGCCCTTCTTAGAAATGTAAGTACATTATCTGCTTTGCACAAAAACCTGCAGGCACTCAAGGTGTTTATCTACACTGTAAAATTTCTTGTTGGTATACAATGTGTTCATTTCAACAAACACATGACACCTAGGATGTGGCAGTGACAAAAGGAAGGTAAATCTATTGCCCATGGTAAGGCACGTATTTATTTAGATTTCATTCTTAGTATAAGCATTCCCACAAATGTATGACATGCCTTATTGCCCAAAAAAAACCAAAATAAGTATGGCTGTAAATTGACTTACAGTAGAAATGCTTAAATATTTGGAAGACTTGATCAGAGGAAGATAATTCTGTTGGTTCTAAAAAGTGCTTACAAAACAAAATAAGCAAGCAGAGCAGATACTGAAAAATTTCCTGATTTCTAGTGTCAATGGCTTCAAAGTTCAGAATGACCAGGATGATTAGTACATCATTTTCTTGCTGTCTCTGAGCATGCTTTCTGTGAATTTCATGGCTCTTCCTATTCGAAATACTAAGTTTTTCAATGAACCAAGGTTGTGGAATGAGAGTGGAAAAAAAAAAAAAAAAAAGTAAAAGTAAGTAAAAGTACTACTGTACTAAAAAGTTGTGATGGAAAATCAACTAAATATTGTCCTGAAGCAGTGAATTCTCTCCCTGGCAATTCCACAGAATTTGTGTGGATTTTTGGGAAATCAGCCTCCTGTGATAGGACCTGGAGCTGGTTTGTTGGTTACAGCTTCATGGGGCATGGCTTTTTCTACAATTACTAAAGACAGCGCAAATAAACCTTACAATCAAGACTTACTGCAGGGGTAGGTTGTTCCCATTAAGTAGAACAAAGTCTGGCATTGCCGTTATCTTCCAGCTACAAAAGGTCTTTTCCCCTCTAAACGTTTATGAGGCAGTTAAGCAAGAAATACAGGGGAGCGTATAATGCCTTGAACAGAACACTCAGCTCTAACTTCAATTTTAAAATCACACACATAGGGAACTATATCGGGGGGGAGAGGGGCGGTGAGAAACACATTTTAAAAAACACTACCAGTAAATTCTAGGGCGCTATTTGAGCAGAGCATCCTCCGACAGCGCGACCCTGGGGGAGCGGCCCCGCAGCCCCGTTCCCGCGGGGATGCGGTGCTCGGAGCGCCGGCCGTGCCCGCTGTGCCGGATTTCCGCCGCAGCCCGCCCTGGCCCGTTCGAACGGCAATGGAGCGGCAGCCGGGGCGGGGGCCGGGCCTGTGACGGGCGCCTGTGCCCGCCCCGGCTCTCGGTCTCCGCCCGGTAGGGCCGAGCGCCCGGCGCCGCGCCCGCCCCTTCCCCTTTCCCTTCCCCTTTCCCTTCGCTTTCCCGTCCGTGCCCGCGGCGGGGCCCGGGCGGCTCCCGGAGCAGCGCCGGCAGCAGCGGCCGCAGGTACCGGGGCCGGGCAGCGGGCGGGGGGAGCCGGCGGGGCCGCGCAGGCCGCGGGAGCCCCGGGCCCGGCCCTGCCCTGCCCCGGGCCCGGCTCTCCGCGGCGGCGGGGCCGGCTGCGAGCTGCCCGCCCGGCCGAGCCGAGCCCTGCGGCAGCGGCATGCGAGGAGCGGCGGCGCCGCGGGCGGGGCGGGGATGAGCACCTTGCCTTTGTTAATGAATTAATGAATGGTCAGGAGTGCCACAGAGCCGCTCCTCCAGAGCGGGAGCCCGCGCGGCTCCCCGCGTGTTCCCCAGGTGTGTGAGGGGCCGGCGAGGCTCACCCGCTGCCGGAGCTGCACACAAAGTTGTGCGGCTGAGGCGCCGCTATCCTGCGGCGCTGCCCGCGGCTGCCGGCTCGGATCCGGCACCGGGAGCAGCTGTTGCTGCCGGGATGGAGCGGGCGATGCCTCGGGGAGGGAGGGATGGAGGGATGGCAATGCCCGCCCGTGCCCGGTGACAGCGGCGCCCCGAGCCGAGAGCACCTGGCACTGACAGGGCTGGGACTGCAAGAGCTTTTGCGCTTGTGATGGTCTCAGTTCTACGGCGTGGAAAACATCGAGTGTTCTTTTAATGCCGTTTCTAGTTTTTTGTAACACAGGTGTTCTCTGGCACCATTTTTGCATTTTTGACCCCCTTTTTTGGGTGTTTCCCGAAAGTCAGGATTTAAATGACTGGCTTCATATTTTAGGCTGAACAAACTAATTTTTCTTTGAAGGGCTCAGACTTTTTCAAAAAGGGGAGCCTGTTGGGCATGTTGAGTCAAGGGCTAAAAAAGTGAGGGCAGTCAAAAGAACAAATCATTCTGAAAACCTGTTCAAGAGTATGTAAAATGGTGAACGTTAGTCTTTATAATTCTAAAATAATATTTTCTATAATTTGCTGAGTGGTACAGATTTAAAGAAAAACCTTGCATTTTGGTAAGACAGCCTTTATGTACAGTAGAGTTGTAGAAGTCAAAGTCTGTGATGTCAGTAAATGTGGTTTTATTTTCACATGTTTCATACAGTATCAAGTGACTGCTTGGGTAGGAAGATGCATTGCTTGTGTGTGTCCATTTAGGAGTCAGGCTGAAGAATAATGAATTAAAGTGACTGACACCATGACAACCGTGAGACAGAGAAGGGTTGGAAAAGGCACAGAAGCAGCTGAAGATCAGCCTTCAGAGGAGACAAATGTGAAGCCTGATGGGAAAATTCTGCCTGGTGGGTAATGAAAAACAAAGTGACATTATGGCTTTTTAGTGGTGTTTTGGTTTTGATCTGTCCTAAGCACAGCTCAGAGCTAGGCATGTGACAAATGCATTTCCATAATTGAATATCACCAAAATTAATTGCATGAGACAGAGGGTTTCATGCAGATTGCTGCATGTCAATCTTATCTCTGTTTTAAAATCTTAATTTAAATTGGTGAGAACAATTGTTTCAATATATTATTGGTGACACGCTATCAGCTGGATACTTTGGAGCCATCCAAAGTTCTTCAAAGAATCCCAGTCCAAATCATTGGTAACATAAAAGGATTGAAGAGAACTGATGAAATGTACTTATAAATAGGCAGGTTGCATATAAAATTTGAATTTAACTGGTTAGGTAAACTTTCGTATGGAATTAGAGCTTTAGAGCTGACAGAGTTCCTTGGTTTTTTGGGGACATTTTTAGATTAATTTATTTTAAGGGCTATTTTGATCTAAATTCTAAATGTTTCTCTGCATTTGGGCAGATGAAAGGAAAGTTCTGTTGCTGTTTCTGCACAAACTCACTTAGGCTATGTACAAAAAGAATAAGAGCTCATAGCTCTCCTGCAGCCCAGCCCTCAGTTCCAGGGAATTGCAGTTGGAACCCTTAAGCAGATGTCACACACAGTATGAAATAGCCATTTCAAATATACAATTCCAGATCTCAAATCCATATTAATCCTTACATTAACACTAAAAATACAAAAGCCCCAGGAATGTCAGTGCACAGGGAAGGCCTGGAGGGTCACACATCCTTTTTTTGCCATCACCTCATCCCTGCCCTTGCTCCAGGAGCCCATCTGCAATTCAGAGCATGGCACCACCATCAAAGGCTGCTTTGGCTGCCCTTCAGTCTCTTTGTGAGTATTTACTGAGGCTTCAGAACCTTCACTGTTGTTTTTTACAAAAACTGAGCAACCCCCCCCCCAAAAAGGCAGCTATTTTTAGACCTTTCTTGTGAATTTCTTGCTTTGTCATCAGTCATGCTGTATTGCTTGAATTTAAAAAGATCTGGAAGATATTTCAATTCAGATTTACAGATTAGTTATGGCATGGAGCTAAACTTGTATAGGATCATGGTGTCCTTAAATTTAAAGTATACCAATTAAGGCACACTTTATTTCACTTGGTATGTAAATAAAATACTCTGATTTTCTAATATGGGAAAATAAAAACAAAAGATGTGTTAAAACCAGGTGTCCTGTAACCTGCAGAATGTAAACTGTGCTAACCTAGGCAATGGATGTTTCACACTTACAGACTGAAATATTTTTCTTCCAAGATCCTCCAGGTGGAAAGCTCCGGAACATACTCTCAGTAACTGTTGGTGGAATTGTTGCCATCTCTCTTGGACTCCTTACTTCTGTTTATGTAGCTACACTGCATGAAAATGACCTGTGGTTTTCCAATATCAAGGTAACAATCATTTTCCTAGTTTCATCCTAGTTTTGTGCAGCATTAATATGAGCATTATGAAATTTCATTTTTTTGGGTACTTGTCTTGCAACCTGCTCAAGACCAGAATATTTCATTTTTAAAAATTCCATTTAAAAAAAGCTGTGCTTCCCTTCCCACCATACTTCATCAGTTCTATAAATACCTGTCCCCAATTTTTTCTCTAAAAATACTGCTAGAGAGCTCCTGTTTGAGTTGTAGCTATGGTTCTTCCAAAAATTGATCTTTATCTACAATAGAATTTCAACATTTTGCTATATCTTTTTCTATAATCATCTTACTTTTATCCAAAGCAATCTAAAATTTAAATAAAAACCAACAGTTAAAAGTATGCAAAATCTTGGCACACGGTTCCTGAATTGTATTTCCACTGTTGTAATATTATTCTGTAATACAGTTTAGGGACAAAACTAATGTTATATAATGTCATTCTGAACGTGCAAACCTCAACACACATTTCTGCCATTCACTAATGCCAACCCCATCATTCCCAAGACCCAGGACTGACTAGTTCTTTCATAGAATCACTGCAGAGAAAATAATGCAGCTGTACCCACAGCTAAATTTAACCAGAGAAAAGAACAGGTGAGTCATTTCCCTTTCAAATGCCTCAAATCCATTCTGCTAGGTCTGTGTAGTGTATTGTTCAAAGAGTACATTTATTTAACTTGGAATACATTTATTTAACTGGAATACTTGCCTTGCAATATGTCTTTTCTATACTACACTTTTTGTGACCCAGAAACATTTATATTCCCCTAATGCAAATAATTTGCATTTCCTGCAACAATTGCTGTTGTATTATACCTATAACACTGTGTTGTGCCCACCCTTTTCTTCCCTTGATTATATAGAGAGGTTGTGCTCAATATATTGAAGGTACACCTTGGGTTTGCCTTTTCCTTCCAAAAGCAAGTAGTGAATAATTTCAAGGTGTTGAATATTTCCAAGTGCAGGCAGGCATGGGCTTGTGGCAATGTATGAACAGAATGGATGCATCTTTTTTATTCTGTCAGGCTGACCCAGAGGAGCACAGAGTTGACTGAAATAAGCAGCTCTGTAGTTATAATTAAGTTGTTCCCTCAATGTGTGAAACAGTTGTTTTATTTGATGATTACTGGTTTCATTTTAAGTACACTAGAATGCCACTAGATATCAGAACTGAAGTAAACCCCTCTAGTTTTTTGGAGTCTGGATTCTGTTGTCTTTGTAGCTGTTCTTTCACCCCATGGAGGTGATGGATAGCTGGTAACACTGCAACAAGAGCAATTTCAGCCAGTTTGATGGGAAGATTCTAAAAGCATCAAGTTCAGCTGGCAGCAGGGTAAAGGAGAAAGAGCTGCAGACACTGCCTGGTCTCACAGTGTCCCTTCTTCAGAGGGATGTGATCTCACCAGAGCATGCATGTGGGGATTGCACACTGCTCACTTCAAACAAAGTTCTGCTTTAGGAGTGGCAGGGGAAGAGAAAAGTGCATATGGAGAGTCTGAACTTTGCTGCAAAGCTGAGGCAGGAAGGTTCATCCCAATATCTGTAAAACAATCCACAGCTGTCTCTGTGCCTGTGTAGGAGTGTGGTCTCTCCAGGGATGTGTCCGTGTCTTCCAGCAATTCTCAAAAGGCTAGTCTTTTCATTAAAGCACATACTTTATACTAAGAAAGATAAGACCCTCAAAAATCACATGGAAAATAAGTGGAAAAGGTGCTTTCTTCTCTAACATTTTATAGTTTGGCCAAAGCTTTTGCAGGTATCAACTGAACTTTCCAAAAGTTTGAAAAGTGTAAGTTTTATTTTAGTCCATACCCCTGCCCAGATTCTCAGAAGGGAGAGCTGCAGTCTAATCCTTGCCCCACAATTATTGCCTGCCTTAGTGAAATACAGAGGTAATCTCATTTTGTTATATTTTCATTAAACATAACATAGAATAAATAGGTGCATTACAAATGCACATCCAGTGTTTTATTAACCCCTCTGCCTGTGAAATACTGTAGAGCAACATCACTGCTATGCAACATAAAAAAGAAACATTCTAAATCACTTCTATTTCTATGCATTTTAAACTACTGACTTCAGTCACTCTGAATTGGCTGTAAATGGGGCAAATTTGAGGATTTATGTTGTTGAAATCTGATACAAAAATTATGTAACAGTTATTATTCCCCTGAACTTTTTTCCTTTCATCCAATAAGCTACAATTAGTCAGATGATAAGAATTCATGCCCAAAAGGATCTGTGTAGCAACTTAATTATTGCAGAGATGTAATGGGAGACCTGTTCTGTCGTCTTTTCTTTCATATGAAAGTACTCTTTTATTTGAAGAAGATCTGCAGTGTTTTCCTGACACTTCTGCACCAGGCAGATATTTGTACCAACACCTTTTAGGTGCAAAAGGTGGAATTTTTGTTCTGAAGACCCCACTGATACATGAACACCACAACTGCATGTTTAAAAAGTAGGCAGAAATGGGAAGTAAAAAGAGTTTATTATGCAAAGTCATGATTCCTAACTCCTAAATAATTGGAGTCAGGACTTGCACACACACTTGCAGTGATTGCCTTTCTGTAATTTCAGTTGCAATTCATCAAAAGCCAGTTCAGATTTGGGTGTCTTCCAGCAATGGTTCACCCAAGTAGAAAAACTGTCTGGTCCTTGTTCAACTGTTGTGCTGTATTTTGAATATTGCTTTCAACAGTGCATTGATTTCAGCTGCTGCTCTGTGTGTGAGCCTTGTTCTTGTTTGCTGCTAAATGTGCCTGCTATTATCCATTAGCCATGGTCACAGGAGAAAGATGTACCATTGTTTTCTTAGCAGAAAAACTGAAAAAGCACATCCTGAAGAGTGGTTTATGCAATGAAGGAAATACATAGTTGTTCCTTTTTTTTTTTAATTTCAAGACCTCCTGAAAGAATGTCCAAAATACAAGAAACAGAAAAGATTCAGCATATCATGATACCTAGTCAGGAGCTGTGTTTGTGTCCCCTTCCAGCAGGGATCACAGGTTACAATCACTTAAATTGATCAACTAATTTTTGAGAAAAAAATTTTGAATCTCTTCTCATATACATTAAACCAACAAACATTTCTGTTTGTGATGGTGGAAGTCAAAACAGATTTCTTATCCAAAAATCCTTTCTCAGTTTTCTGTAAATGTTCTGGCATAACACATCTGAAATGGCTTGTCTATTTTCAGTGATTTTCAGTAGCAGTTTAGTGGCTGCCCCTCCAGTGTAGCATCTTTTGGGAACAGAATCTGCTGTGCAAATAGCAAAATGAGGGGCCATTTCTCCTGTCAGCCATTGCTTGTTCAACTGCAGATTCTGAAGACACTTTGAACAGGAATAAGCCAAGGCCACGTAGCAAATTAATACTGTGAGAAAAACAGATAAACTTCAGAGCATTCATTTCTTCTTCATCCCTTCTGAGTAAGAGTTTAGACACTGGTATTGATTTTTCTTTTAATAAAATTGCTGCTTGCAGGAAGTCAGGAATGAAAATAGAAGATTGTAAGTCTTTCAGGATAGGAGTGCCAGGATTTAGTCTGTGAACTGCTCATATTCTCCCTTTCTACATTTTGAATGCAAACCAAAGATCATTGCCCAGAGAATCTGTGGCTGCCCCTGGATCCCTGGAAATGTCCAAGGCCAGGTTGGACATTGGTGCTTGGAGCACCTGGGATGGTGCAGGGGGTGGCACTGAAGGGCTTTCAGGTCCCTTCCAGCCCCAGACAAAATGACTGCATGAAGAAAAGCAGGGAAACAGGTGATGAGAACTGCACAGAGGGAATGCTCAGGCATGAAGGGAAGGAGGGCATGCAGTTCTTTTGGGCAGTTCTTTGGCACAGAGGTGCCTGTCAAGGTGCTAGAGGTGCTTTTACTCTGGGTCAGATCTGATCTGGAGCACACCACTCCAAGAGATGGGCTTTAGGTTACCATCCAGGAGGGCTTTCAAAGGATTAAATACATTTGCTGAAGGCTTGTTCTCAACTGGGAACATTGACAACAGCTGTGTGTTGAGAAAATGTTCAAATCTCCCTGGTCTTAAATTGAAATACTAATAAATAGTTTCAATTACACAAATTTTGTTTTAGCAATCTCAAAAAAAGAAAAGTAATCGGAGCTTTATTTATGCTCATTATTTATAGAAAAACTCAACTCAGTCTTTGGCTGCTTGCTCAGCATTCTGAAGGACTTGTTTAAGGAGTTTGAGAAATCATAAGCTCTAAAATTTTGCACTGCCCTTGAGAGAAAGTCCTTTGTATTTGGTTGTGAATGCTTAATATTATGAGGCTGCAATTGCATAAATTGAAATAATAAGCAGCTCTCTGTGTGTCCCAGAGGAATGTGTTCTTTATTTTTCCCTTGGAACAGTGATAACTTCTTTGTTACCACCTCACAAAGTGAAGATACAGACAGATAAGCATGTGCTCTCACAGTGTTTACCCATAAGTCTGTATGTTTTTATTGACATGGAAGGCTGGGAAAAGTATAAATTGCTGTAGAACTGGAAAAGTATTTTCAGTGAATCAAACAGATGTTATCTTAGCATGAAACAGATGTAAAACTCACTAGAGTTTGTCTCATAAAGTATAGCATTTGGTTGAATACAGCTGGTGCCAGGATTACAAATTAATCATGTTTGAATGCATTTTTGCTAATTAGATCCCCCTCTGTGACTCCTTTCTCCCCCTTAATAAATTCCAAATGTTAGCATTCCCTTTTTTTTGCCTTTATGAGCATTTAAGAGTCAGCCACTTTTTGGTATTAGAAAACTTTCCAGTAGTGATGAACTTGAAAGTAGAGCTTGTTTAAAATCCAGCACTCTCAGTGTGCTAAGTGTGTGGCTTTTGGTGTGATGATGATTTATATGTCACAGGGCAGCTGGAGAGTTTAATTGAGAACTTAGATTAAATCACTTGTGGTTTTATCTATTGACTTTTCTCAGACCAGAACTAATATTGCTTTGTCAACAAGTGACTTCAATAAAACACATGCTTTGAGATATGAACCTGCACTGGGCAGCAGAGGAGAGAAGAACATGGGTTTTTGTCAAGCTTTATGTTAGCTCTGAAATAGATTTGATTCTTCTCCAGTGTAATAGTTGGGATTGTATGAGAAGGTTGAAAGTCTTGGGGATCTGTGCAAGCTTGCATAAACAAGATTGGCATTCATAAAAGTCTCTGAAAAAGTAATATTCTGTTATTTCAGTAACATTCTTTTGTACAGAAAGATGAATTCATAAGGTTATTTTTATAAATCACACAAGTTTTTTAGTGACTTGCATATACCACATACAGGGATTTCACTGGATTTTCAAATCTCAGTTTAAACTTTCTAACAAGATAGAGACCTTTTCTAACTTACTGCTTAGGAGATACATTTGCTGGGATGTTATTATACAAACTACTAAAAAGATCACTAATAATAGAACAATTCTGTATAAGACAATTGTTAGTTCTCATCAGATTGGTTGTTCATGCCTTCTTTGTTTTAATGTAGTTGCCCAAAGCTGTGGATTTGTTAAATTTCATTAGGTCTTCACAACTAATGAGGTAACAAAAGGAAATGCATTCCAAAGCAAAGAGCTTTCAGATCTTACTAGACCCCATCTGCTGCAATATTGGCTAAGAAAAAGGCATAGTTTGAAATGTACCTGGTTTGAAGTGTACCTAGTTTAAATGATTTGAACATTTTTGAGTAGAAATAAGAAGTTCACCTAGCCCTAAAGCCAAGTAGAGAGTCCCTTTTCCTTTCAGCTGTAGCTTAGGAATGAGTGATGGCAGCTGGCTTCTGCAAGAAGCAGTGTTGAACAAGTGGGCAGCAGCATCCCCTGCCAGCTGAAATATCCTTGACATCATGGTGCAGCCCCCTCAGAGCACTGAATTAATTGAGCCTTGAGCTGGCACAGCCATGGAGCACAGTGGGATAACTGCATCTGGGAGAAAAGGTTAAATGCTCAAAGCAGGGATGTGCAGCTTTACAGCCCAGCTGTGGGCCACTGGGCCAATCTAAATTTGTCATATTGCAAAGAAATAGTGAAATGCCCACAGTATTTCCAAGCAGCAGATCAGAATCACAAAGAGCTTGTACATTTCCCCAGTTAAAGAGTCATTTACACCCCAGCTTGTACATTTCCCCAGTTAAAAGTCATTTACCCCCATTGCCTCTCACCCTGATTTGTCCCTGTGTGTTCACCTTTGGTTGAACCGAGTTGCTTAGGATGTGAAACCCAAGGACTGAAGCCTCTCTGGAGGTCAGTTTCTCTGGTGCTGCAGGAATTGGAGTTGAAGGCAGCTTTGGATGATGGTGAAAAGCAAATGGAAAATGAATTTCCTGTTGAACTTCACTTGCAGGAGGTCGAAAGGGAAATTTCATTCAGAACTGAGTGTGGACTTTATTATTCGTACTACAAACAGATGATTCAGGCTGCATCCATTCAGCAAGGTATTGTAAACTGTAAAGTAAGTTTTGCAGCTGACTATTTGTAGGCTTGGTTGGGGCTTTTTTTCCAAATATAATTGAGAACAAGGCACACCATAACTATGAAAGATAGTGTAACAATGTACTGGAGACAGATTTATTCTGTTCTTATGCCAGGGAGCCACTAAGTTATGGACATAATAAATTTCACAATGATGCATTGATTTCTGTGCCACACCTTCCCATGCTGATGAAGGCAATCACTTTAAGAGACAACTTTCATATCTGCTCAGGTTTCAGCTTGCTGGTTTATTCAGTTTATACAGTTTATTACTTTCATTTTTATTCTTCTCTTGTTTAATTTGAGGTAGGAGCTATTTCTGGGAAGGGGCAATGCTTTTTGCTGTATTCCTGGACAGTAAGTGACACAAGGAGCAGCTTCCAAGGAAATCATACACAGTGATGGGGCTTTCTCAGACAGTCTCGTGTTTTCTAGACATTTAGCTGTTGCTCTTTAGCAATTTTGCTTATACTACACATTTTTCAATAATGACTTCACCTGTGATTAAAGTAGTGCCAAGAACAGTTCTCAGGATCCAGAATGTACCACAGATTCTATGCTGGGGATGGAAGTGTAAAAATAAATGTTTTATACACTACTAAATATATAGTACTTGAATTAGCACTGTGAGTCACATTTGAAGCAGGGAAGCTGAAGACCTCAGAAGGTCATGTTGATTCAGAGGTAATATGTTCTGAATCGTTGACTCAAAGTTTGCAGTTTCTGATGAGAGATCCTAAAATACCTTTGAAAAAGTTATTCACTGTTCAAATGAAGATGGAGGGGGAAAATGACAATCTCCTATTTCAATTTCTCTTTATCATTAAGGTTTACATGGTTTAGTATATGACAATAAAACTGAATCTGTGAGGACAATTAACATACTTGAAAGAATGAATGTTTACCAGGAGGTGTTTCTCAGCATTCTGTATAGGATTCTTCCAATTCAGGTAGGCATTTATTTCTGGCTTTAGATTGTAAGTGCATTATGAAGATTGCAGTGAATCCTAGCTCCCCTTTGTAGATATTTTCTAATTAGAAATATTCCTGATACCTTTTTAATTTGTAAAAGCAAAACCTAATTCATACTAAGTATAATCCCCCCCTGTGAGTGTTTTAATGTCAACATCAGTATTCTTGTGTTTTACAGCAATACCTAGAGCCTGTTTATTTTTATATCTACACTTTGTTTGGACTTCAGGCAGTTTATGTCATTGCTCTGTATGTAACAAGCTGGCTTCTTAGTGGAACATGGCTTTCAGGGTTGTTGGCAGCTTGCTGGTATATTACGAACAGGTAAGTGAGATGAAACATTTAATCTTTCTAATATTTTGCCTAGTTTCAAAGGTAAGGCATTAAAGCTTTAACTACATGATTCATTGGACAAAACATGAAAGTAAAAGGCCTCTCTCCAGTTAGCCAGAAAATGGAAAGAATTTTTAAATAACAAAAAATAATTAGAAAATAATCAGAAATGAACTGACGTATCAGACTGGGTTTTTAAAGGTTCTGGAAGTTTGAGTAGGAAATTTTGTCTTAAAGTGATCTCTTCAAGTGGAGTATATCTTTCATATGTGTCTGGAGCTCCAGGTGATGTTCCCTGTCTTCTCCAGCCTAGGATCTCTCAGGTGGCAAAGACATCTGCAGGAAAGCCCTTCAGGTGTCTCCTCACTGCCCCACACCTGCCTCAGGGGTTCCTTGCACAGCCTCAGCTCAAGTTCAGCTTCTCTCTCCCCTCATTCCTGTAGCCACCTCCTGCACTAGGCCTTAGAGAAAAGCCATGGTAATTGGGCTGTTGCAGTGCTTTATCACTTGAAGAGTGACCAGTTTGGAGATGAAACCCTAAGAACTGGCTTTATGCCAGAATGAAGCCTCTGGCACAAAGCTAAGACTGGTGACATTGGCTGTTTCCTGTAAATTACTCAAGAAATTAAAAGTACAGTCTTGGTTCTACCAGAAGTGTTTGATATGTTAATGAGCAGCTCTAAAGGAATTTATCTGCCAGCACATTCACTACAGAATAATTACAGGTGTATGGAGGCAGGGTGTTTCTTTCTCCAAATATAAAAGGAATTAAAAGCCACATGCAATGTACAGTATTTCACACATTTCTTTCATGAGGTCATCTCTTCCATTTACAGAATATCTGGAGCAAATTTGTCCATCTTTCTAATAATTGGTGAACAGTGAGAGCTTGTTTACTTTATGCAGTATAATAAGTGCATAGAATGGATTTGGATAAAGACTTTCTGTCCAGATTAATTACATCTGAGGCTGCTGAGTAATTCCATTTAGACACATTCTTCCTCCAGCTAAGCATGTTTCAGATTTGTTGCTTACTTGCTGCTTTAGCAAATATTTTCTCTACACTGGGAGAAAGAGAATTATTGTTTTAGCAAATATTTTCTCTACACTGGGAGAAAGAGAATTATTCTGTGTTTTTAACTTTTCAATCAGGTTTTGCAAATGACCATTCCTTGGGGAATTCTTCCCTCACATACTTCTTATGTTCAAAAGCTTCAAAAAATGACCCAAAGCTCATAAGCAAACTGTCTTCATGCTCAAGTCATTGGGATCACAGTGAAAATTATATTCTGTTTATGTTCTTGTATGTGCATTTGCAAACCAGAAAATGAAGTAACATGACCTGTGGTGTGGAAATCCACAAGCTGGATTTTGTTAGTGCTTTTAGTTTGGGGTGTATTTGTCATTTCTAAATTACCCATACATAAGTAAGATGTAATCCATAGTATATTTTTTTTTAGTTAGTGAAGCTGAAGTCCATCATTTGAGATGCAGAAACAATGGATAACTTGCAGAACCTTCACAGTGATTTATTTTCAGAGCCAGGTGTGTTGAAAGAACTGGAGTGTAGAGCCTCCATTTTTATCAATAAGGAGTTAAAATAGCACAAAGATGCCTGAAATTGCAAGCTGTCTGTCACCAAGTATTTGTTTGATTTTAAATTTGTGAAACTCTCTGTTTTGTACAGAGTAGATACCACAAGGGTAGAATTCACCATTCCTTTAAGGGAGAACTGGGCACTGCCTTTCTTTGCTGTTCAGATAGCAGCCATCACATACCTGCTCAGAGCTCATTTACAGCCTGCTCAAGAGGTGAGTATTTCTGACAAGTGGGACACAGTAAACTCAGGAACAGAGAACTGTCCTCAAGCAAAGGGCTGATACAGTTTCTTTGGCCAAGAGTTCTTAAGTTACCACTCCTCATTTTGATCAACTAACTGCTATTTATACCACAGTAAAACAGGTATTGCATTTTAATCTGGGGGCTGAAACTATCCAAGATCTCCCTGTTTTCTTGCAGATGGTGTTACAGTGATAAAACACAGGCATAAGTCAAGAATTTGTAACTCTAATAAAATATTTGTTATCTTCTAAGCTGTTATTGCAGTTAGAAAATTCAGTGTTTTAAAATTGATATAAAATAAAACCAGATTAAGATGGGCTTTGGTTTGGTTTGTTTGGGTTGGGTTTTTTTGCTTGATTTTTTGTGTTTTAACCAAGAAAACTATAAAATAAAACTTTGTTCCCTCCTTGCAGAGGCTCACACTCATGGCTGTATTCATAGCAACGTTTCTCTTTAGCCTGACTTGGCAATTTAACCAGTTCATGATGCTGATACAAGCACTGGCATTGTTCATACTGGACTCCTTGGACATGATTCCCACAGCAAAGGTAAATTTCTTTTTGGAAAGAACCTACTTTTGTTTCTTTGCCTTCACAAAGCCAACAGTTTTGAAGGTGTTTTCCTAACCAGTGGCCTGAATGGCCAGAGTAATACAGATTGTGCTGTGTGCCTTGTGCCTTGAATCAATCCCAGTGTATAAACCCTGCAGTCTAAAAGTGAATGAAGGAAACAACACCATTTCTGGTTTTTGTTCACTTGAGCCTAGTTCATGTCTATTTAATTTTTGTCTGCTTTTGTTTAGACACTATTTGACACTTCCAAACACCATCCAAACAGTTGATCTGATACCACAGCTTTAGCATGGCCTCTCAAAGTTGCCAGAAGGAAAAAGTACCACAGGGAATCTTTGTGCAAGCTGCAGTCAAAGCAGTGTATGAATTTTGCCTCAAGCATTGTGCATCCTCATTTGGGGCCAAGCTCTGTGCACAGGGGGAGGATGCAGAACACCAGGTTGCTGGGCAGAAACAATTGTTGTCTTGCCTGCATTGACTTCACCACAAAATAACAGCATTGCCCCTGCTGTGTTGCTGAGCTGGATAAGCCAGAAAATAAAACAAGTCTTACTAAGAAGGTCAGGGATCATTGGCAGTCAATCTTATGAAACAGAAATGTACTGTAGAAGATGAAAACACTGTCTTTGACATTAACATAGCTGTGAAATTCTACCAAGATCATTTTAGGCATGGTGAAAGCTTGCACTGGTTGAGAAAGGTTCTAACTTTAGTTAAGGTTACAGGAGGATGAAGAGTAATTCATGTAAATTCATTTTCAATTTGAAGCAGACTTGAACTTTACTGATTGTATTAATTTAACAGAAAAGGAGTATAGGGCCTGCATATCAAGATAAATGTGGCTTACTTAAGTTTCTTAACTCTTTATTATATCAGCAGCTGCAAGCTAAAGTCAACATTTAATGTCACTGGGCAGCTGCCTTAAAAGTCAGCAAATGCCCAGCTTCATGCTGAGTTATTCCAACACAGACTCACCACACCACTGTGTCTGTACTCATTTTCAAAAAATAACTACTTAGAACTGATGGAGTTTGTTGGGCTCTCTGATACTGATTTACACCACTGCTGTAACACAAGACTGAACTTGGGATCTTTATGTGAGGTAAAATGTGTATTTTGGTACCACTGTAGAAAATCAGCTGAGGTTTAGTGCTTACATTGAGCTGAACTCTGATAAGAGTTTAGCATAACCCAAAAGGGACTATACTGAACCATTACTGGAAAGTTTGAGAAGGTAGGTGATGTTGAACTGCTGAACTGCACTGAGCCATAACTCTTCAGTCATAAAGACATCACAGAGGCTACAGAAACACTTCTTGGACTACAGAAAATAAAACCATCTTCCAAATATTAAGTAATTAATATTTTCCTCACACTGCAGTTATAATCATCTATAATCAGCAGTTAATCTGCTTGATTATAGGATCAGGCTTCCTTAAGTATAAAATGGGCATAAAATATTAACCTAAGTAGTTCAGGACATAAATATAAAAAGAATGCAGTAATGGCTTTAAATGTAGTGATTCACTGCAAGATGATACATTATTTGCAAAATAATTGATGTTGAAATAAATTATAAAGCATATTGAGAGAAAAGCACCTATGACTGTAAAGTTTTGTAGGCATAAAAATCTCATTATTGTTACAGGTTACATGGCTCTATATCATTCAGATTTCTGGGTTACTGCTGGTCTGTGTCCTACAGTTCTTCAATTCTATGATTCTTGGATCATTACTTATAAGTTTTAATGTTTCTGTCTTAATAGCAAGGACAATCCAGGTAGGTACCAAAATATTTCTGTAGTACTAAATAAAGAGTATTTTTATGTGTGTGTGTGTGTGAATGAGTAATTTAGATGCATTATAATTTTCATTTAGTAATATTAATTAAAAGGAATTACTATAGCATATAGCAACCCAAACATTGCCTGATCAAATAATGAATTCCATTACACTAACTGCAGCTTAACCAAGCACATCAGACATCATAATTCCATGATTGCTATTAACATTAATGATTGTGCAAGCTGCATTTTGGATCCTGAAAAAAAGTTTGCATAAATGGACTTTACACCTGTTTCAGCAGGACTTGGCTTGAATTTATGGATCTGCCTCCAAAAAATAATCTGTAACAACTTGGACAGCTGGGCTCATGTCGAGTTCAGCTTCCTGAAATCCACTGTTCTTTCAAAGATTAGGGGTTTTTTTAATGTAGTTACAGTTCTTTTTTTTTCTGATTCTGGCATTGGTGACAGCCTCTGACTCCATTAAGGCATTTACAGGGCCATTCCTATTTTCTGCACCTACTCCCAGTTAACTGTGAGCAGCTTATCTGGATCTGGAGCTTGAAACTGGAGAATTGCTCAAAATGCTATCAAGTGACAGAGCCAGAAGATCCCTTTGCCATGTTTAGTGGAAGGTGTAATGAGTAGGTATTTCAAAAGGCACACAGGATTGTGGAAATTAGGGAATGAGTTCTGTAAGTACACCAGGGCTGCTGCCAAAGAAAGGCTGTTTGGCTGCTTCCAAAACTCTGCCCCATCAAAGCTTTTATGGCATCGTCCCTTCAGTTTTGTGCAAGAAGTTTATCTTTATTCTGGGTACTTGGTTCTGTGTCTGTTTTTGCATAAATGACCCTAATGCAAAGTTGGTGCTGCTCAGGACTAGCAGAGGAGCTGTTGCAAATAGCCTGTGATGCTTTTGTTCCAAATACATTAAAATAAAAAAAGAACTGAAATACTAATATTTTCTTCTTTGTAGAAAAACCTAAAAAAGGGTGGCTTGCTTAATAGGCTTGGGAAACTTATCCTCCATGTTCTACTAGTCTTGTGCTTGACTCTCCTAATAAATAAATTCATTAAGGTAGGCAAATAATTTTTAATATCAAAAATTACACATTGTATTATGTTAAAAACTATTTGTTAACCATCTACAGGAATATCATTAAACAAAAACTGCTGTGAGATTTCTCTGCATCTCAGAAACTGCATTTTAGAAATTAAAGATAATTTTGCTAATCTTTGGTACATGGATTTGAAAACTTCATAAATTAACACCAAATAATTGGTGTTGAAGGTCACCTGTAATTTTATGTCAGTTGTAGATCTATACTGTTGAGCATTTGCAAAGTGTTTCACTAAATTTTCTTTTCAAAGCATGCAGTTAAAACTGAATGCTTCTTTGATTGCAAAGCACCCATCTTAGTAAAGCCTGTGTTGCTTCACAGTTTCATTTAAATGAAAAAACTGCTCTTTACTGTGTGACATTTTTGATATTTAAAATATAATTTCCTTTCTCTTCCCCCCTTTATAGAAAATTCTTAATCTTGAATCAGATGAGCATATATTCAAATTCCTGAAAGCAAAATTTGGATTTGGAGCAACAAGGTATGATTTAGCTGCAGTTTTGCTTTTTTGTTTGACTTCTTTAATTGAAGCCTTCAGGTTGTTCCTGTTTCAAATGTGTTCAATAAATCACAGTTTCACCTCATGTTTATGTCATACTTGCCCTAAGAATAATCTGCACAAGTGTGACTATATAATTTCTTGAGAAGAAAGGAAACTTTGATCCTTTTTGACATCAAGTTATGAAATACATGATGGACAAAGGTGCTTTTTTTTTTTTTTTAGAGATTTTGATGCTAACCTGTATCTTTGTGAAGAAGCCTTTGGTTTATTACCTTTAAATACTTTCTCAAGACTCTCCAGTACCTTACTGTTTTACGTCTATGGATTTGTTCTCTTCCTTCTGACAGCAGCAGCTGTAATTGTTGCCTTTCGGAACCTCAGGTAAGTACAGCTTTAGGAAAATTCACATTTTTATCAATTTTATTTTCTTCAGCTGGTGAGGAACTGGCAGGTGAACACAGCAGCAAATGCAGGATTGCTTTGCACAGCTACTGAGGAGTGGGGTGTAGGAGAGAGAAATCAGGCAGAACAAGTACTTCCTGTTGAAGCTAAAAATGTAACCAAAGGAACAGCCTTCCCTAGATTCATTCAAGCTTTTGATGATGAAGTTTTGCAGTATGTATAACGTTGGTTGGGGTTTTTGGGATGAGGAGAAGCAGGGGAAGGGTGTTTTTATCTAGAACATTGTTAGTTTCTTTAGTTCATCCCGTTTTCCCTGTGCAAAGCACTCCAAATCACAGATTTCCCAGGTGTTACCCTCAAAACAACCCAGATTTCCCTGGGTGTTACCTGCCCAGAAATGAGCTGGAAAAGTCTGTGCTGAGCTTTGTGGTCTGTGTGAAGGGGCAGGAGCTGTAACTGCAGAACTGCTGGCAGTTCCCAGAGCTAATCTGTGGGATTCTGAGCTATCTACAGAACACAGAAGAAAATCAGACAGAAATGTTATTCCAGAAAATAAGGTTCCATATAGAGCTCTCAGTTTTACTTGCACAACCTGGGCAAAAGGTAGAAGGGATCATATAAAACCTGGTTAAGCAAAAATCCAAGGAGTGTCACATGATTAGTGTCAGTATCAGAGATTTTAGGGAAGACTGGATAAAAAGGAGAGAGAGCAAGAGAAAGGGAGAGGATCCAAGATGTTCCAAAACTGTGATATGACAATTACATATTGCAATAGTAATTGTCAAATGTCGGTCATCTGTAAATGCTACCAGAAAAGTGGATTTCTCTGTGGGACTTTTCTGCAAAGCTGAAAGAGTTGATGAGAAGCCTGAGGGAATTTTGGTACTATTCAACCAGCCTCTTTAAAAACTTACTGGATCAGTCAGTTTTAAAAATAAAGATTCTGCAGCTCTTATTTTCTGCCACCCTAGATGTAATCCCAGACATGTCCCTAATTTTTAATGCTTTTATCTCACTTATTCCCTGCTCTGAAGAAAATAGGAATACCCCACAAACTGAAGCAGCTTCTTAGTGTTTTTGAAGGACCCTCCACAAGGCTTGACACCTCAAGCAATAACCACATCTTTCAGGGCTCATTTTCCCTAACTCTGCTTCCAATCTATGACTTTGGTAACATCCAGACAGACCAGCGCAACCCCACAAATCACAGTTAAATTCTAAATTCTTCACTCATCAAAAGCCCTCTGAACATGGGAGTAGCTGCTTCCAACAAGAAACCAAGCTTGCCTTGCTCTAAAGACTTTTATCTTATTCTAATCCAGCTCATTTAAACCCATTGCATTTCCAGAAATCTACACATGAAAAGAAATACCTGACGCTGCATCAAGTTGGTGTCCAGGCTAAATTAGATCCTAGAAGGTTGTGGGCTTATAGCAGTGGTTGTTGTTTGTGGCCCCAGAAAGATTCTGTACTTTTTAAAATGCAGATAATTATATGAAATATGTTATAGAACTTAATATAACACTTTTTTTCTTCAATTAGTGGTTCAAATCAAGTCCATTTGAAGGACAAAATGGAAGAATACACAGTGACACTGAAGCCTGAGGCTGCCTACAGCTTGGTTCACACAGTTCTTTTTGGATGTCTGGCATTAAGCACAATGAGGTATATTTTTTTTTTTTTATTCTAAGGGCTTGTTCAGATGATTGAGTGTATTTTTATAAGAGTGTAAAATATGTTGACCACAAACTGATAGGATCATGAACATTCTTTCTCTCCCTGATGTGTTTCTACTTGTAAACTGAGGCATTTCCCAAAATTCTGCCAGAAAGAATGGAAGTTTGGGAACTGAGATGTTCTCAAGAGTGCACAGCAAAGTGCAGTGTCAGTCCTGTACTCAGTTATTTCAAAGGCATGAAAGTCCAAGAAAACTGTTCAGAATTTCTCTAGACACAAACTGCTCTCACAAGCAGCTTTGCAGAGCTCCCAGTGATCATGAAAAGTTTGTGTTCTTCCAGGATGAAGTACCTCTGGACATCCCACATGTGTGTGTTTGCATCCTTTGGCCTGTGCAGTGCAGAGGTTTGGAAACTCATCCTCAAGTGTCTCCATCTCTACACACCCCAGAGGGTGAGCTCTGTACTCAGCCTTTCATCCACTGGGCTTTGGGCTGCATCTGAACCAAGTCAAGGCTCAGGGCTGATTTATTGCTTGTAGTTCTCTCAAACCAGGTGTCTCTGCTGGATGTTTGTATAAATTTAGTCAGTAAAATGGATTTTCTGGTGGTTTCTATATTAAACAATTCCATTGGAACACACTAGATGGCAATATAGATGTGGCTATGAAAAACGGCCATAATTTTACTAAAAAAATCTCCATATTAAGAAATTATCAGCAGTCTGAGGGGACCTTTGCAGTCAATTATATTGAGTGACAGTGTTTTCCACCTTGTAGAATATAGATTTAAAGATATAAATCCATCTTTTGTGATGAGTCTGTAATTAGGGTTTTACTTGAAGATAAAATCAGAATATGGGCTTAAAATTCAATCTCTTAAATTCCACTACATGTTAAATATTTCAGATATCAATACATTAAAAATTAAGCCTATTAAATGTATCATCAAAATAACCAATTTTTTTTTTCAATTTCTCATAGACACAGGTGATTAAGTATTCTGTACCAATAATTACATTACTGTACATTTCATTTAAGGTAAGAAATTTTTTTCTCAATGTTTTGGCATATTTTAGTTGCATGAAATTTTTCCTTTCTCCTAGAAGAGTTGTCTTATTAGTAACTACATACAAGAATTGTAACTGAATTTTTAAAATGAGGATAGCTGTGCCTATGGAATTGTCTGTGAAGGATCAGTTGGGCTAATTTGATCCAAAATAGTTGTTCATAGATACAAATGTTTATCTGATTGTATGTGTAATAGCAGGTGTTATTTAAAGGCATAATTTTCTGGAGAGTTGTCTCTTTTGGTTTTAACTAAGTTGTGGATAAAATGCAGATTGTCACATTGTGTCATGATTTATTGTAGGAGCAGAAATAATAGTAATCTCTACTGCTGTGTCTCATCTCATATGTTTTAAGGTACAGAATTATTAAATGGTCAAGTACCTGCTTTGTCTTCTGTTTGTTCCAGAAACAGAATATTATTATTGTCAAACACTTAAATGTAAATGCATCAAACATACCTAAGCCAATAACATGTGCAAGATTATCAGTGTGTCATAGCAGTGAGATTTAGAGCACTGATTTAATGGGCAAACCATTCTTTTCATCTGTAGTCACAAAGACAAAAATTTCAGAGTCTGCTTTGATGCAGAAGTTGTTTCTGCAATAACTAGTCTGAGATGAAGATACATCTGTTAAATAATTCCCTTCAGAAAAAGGCAAGATTCATTTCATTGTTGCAGTTCAAAAGGCAGTAGTGAGGCAGTTAAGAAAGCTGCTAATAGAGTTCACTCCAGTATTGTGTTCCCCCCTCTAAAACTGAAACAAAAAGTAAAAACATACTGTTTTCCACTTAAATTGTCTTATTGTTCTGTTAGAGGACTCTTTTTGTCCACCCATGTGATGGTTAGGAAGTCATTTGCTATTTTCATCATCTCTGAATATGACAGAGAAAATGTCATTCCTTCTGACATGGGGATACCAGGAGCATGACATTCTGATAGTCTAATGTGACAGATCACTAGGAATAATTTTCCTCCCACTCTTCATGAGCAGATGTAAAGTTCCTAAATTCTGTCAGATTCAATTCTGAAGTCAATAGAAAACACTGATTTCATGGGCTTTAGAGCAGTCATTAGTTGTGCTCAGTCTGCCTGAAAAGAATCATTTTCATGTTTCTTCTAAATAGAGGAAATAATTTTTATTGACATTAAAAATATTCTTTTTCAAATTTCACAGTAGGAATGAGAAATTCGTCACCCCTCTGTTGTTTTTTTGTCCTGAGTCAGTTCTTGCAGTTGAGCTACCAGAAGAGAGGATCTCTCTGTGGGTCTTTCCTGCAAAGCTGAAAGAGTTGATGAGAAGCCTGAGGGAATCACAGAATATTGTGAGCTGCAAGGGACCCACAAGGCTCCTGTCCCAGGTGCCCTGGCGTGGTCAGACAGGAATTCTTACAGAGATCCAGAAAGGACCCATTGCTTCTGGGAGAATGTGCTTTTATATTCTCTCTCTAACACCTTACAAACAGGCAGTGGAAGGAGATTTTTGGAACAGAGATGTACTTATCTTTTTATTTTCCAGACAGTAATTTCTCTGTTGAGTCACTGACTGCTCAGATTGCAGGGGCAGTTTCTCTGTACACCACAAAGTTACCTGGCCATCAGGGCTGCTTCTCTTGAATTTGTAGGGAGGCAGTTTGGTGTTTCATTATCTGTTACATTTGTCAGAACTGTTCTTCAGTGCAGTTCCTCAAAATAGGACTTTTATGGGATTATTAACCTAATCCTGAATAAGCCAATGAAAGCCTCTTTTGAGGCATGTGGTTACTACAGCCCCAAATACATCACTTGAACAATAATTTATTGAGATGCAGATGCAGCTACAATGCTGGATTTCTTTCAGATTTCAGGCACAGGTTTTGAGACCTGTAAGACATCTGTATTCCTGTTTTCATGTGATTTTCATTATTACAGTGCAAACATCTTTCAGATAAAGTGAAAATTCTGAAGTATTTCCATGCCTACTTTAGCTGTGCTGCAGATAACACAACACATGCATAAAGCAGTACCAAGTAGTATTTATGTTTCACTTTTTACACTTTTTAGGTAGGTTTCACCTTTATCTATATTTTGTATTTTAACTTCATAATAATGCTCATCAATTTGTGTTTGCATGCCAGTAATTTTGAATAAATTGTTGGTACTTAAGGTGAGTTTCTGAGCTTGAGCATTCTAATTCCAAGGATTGTCAAATAATCTTGATTTCTCTCTAAGAGTGAACACTCTATTCCTATTACTTCTGCAGCTGCATTTTTATCTTCATCATGGCCAAGTCCTTTTGCTTCAAACATGGACATTTGTTACAGCAAATACTACAGCAAATACCCATGATCTGAGCAGTCTTTGGTGTATGAACAGCTTCAGTTCAGGGCTAATTTAAGCCACTTGACAACTGGTTTCTTTTCCTGAAGACTTTAGCTCCAGAGACAAGCACTGTTACAAGTTGGAAACCTCTTTCACATTTCCCTCTCTCTTCTGAGCAGTTTGGTACATCCCTTATGTGCTCCATCTGTTCTTTTTACCCTCTCCTGGTGTCACCAGACTTTTTCTCAATCTGACATATACTTGATGTACAAGACAAAGTTCTGTCACTGTTATTGGTCCATATTTTCATATGCTTTACTTTTTATTTGGCATTATCTTGTGTTTGGAACTCCTCAAGTACCTTACTTTTCTCTTGGTTCTGCCAATCAAATGTAACACTACCTGGAAATTTTTCAATTCAGTAATAGCAAGCCCCATGACCAAAATTTTCCTCCAGTGGAAAGTGCTTGTACTCACTCAAAACTTGCAGTATTGTGACTTAAGAAACCTTTACAGAGGGAATGCCATGGAACAGCCCCAGCAGTGAGCAGGGAGCTGTGGCACTGGTGGAACAGCCACTGGTTCCTCAGGAGGTTACAGGGCAGGGTGCACTGAAAAGCAAAGCAGAGCCCATTCCTTCTGTCTCCCCTGAAGAACACCAAGCTCTCAGAATGTGCAGCTATCCAGGGCATTTCAGTAATGAAGAGAGGCAATTTTGATTCATGATGAGACTCCACAATCTCCTTTCACAACAGCTGGATTTACTAATCTCTGGGAGAGCTTCTGAAGAGCAGAAATACATCTGTTGTACTGTTGTACTTCCTAGAGCTTCCCCACAGCTGTGATGCTGCCATGGCTCCACCTGGGAGGTGCCAGGAGCACTGGAACAAGTGTTTTAAGCAAGCAGGTACACTGGTGAGACTCTCAATTGGCCCAGTTACACCTCCTGCCCCCAGGCCTGCCATGTAATTACAGTTTTAGTGAAGGAATGCCTGTGTTTGCTAAGGGGCTCAGCAGCACCACATTCAAATTGCTTCTGAACTCTTGGATGAGCATTAAAATGGGATGATTAATGGCTTTTTAGATAATCAGGTGAGTTTTCTTAGACTTTGTCCTGTAGCATTTCAATTTTCAAACCTTTCAGTCCTTCTTATCTAAAGCAAGCAGGTTTGGAATAGGTTTTTGCATAGCATCCTCTGTAGTAAAGACTGATGCACAGCAATCTGTCATTAGCATTGTCATTATCTTCCTTAATTGCTCCCTGCTGCCCTGAAATATTCACTGGCTTAAACAATAAACTCTTAAATAAATCATTGTTCCCTTAGCTTTTTGGACAGGAGGGTTAAGCTTTTCAGAATCAGTTTCCATCCTTTTTTCTCTCCTCTGGATTTGATTTATGTATTCTTTGTCTATAGTAAATTTTTAAATGCTTTCTCCTGATGGCCTATTTGTTGTTGTCATTCAGTCACAGTTTTATTTTTGCCTTCAGTGGTTCTCTTTTAATTCAGACTTCTGAAATACCATTAATAGCATCTGCAGCACATCTAATAGTCTTCTGATACAGATTTCCTACCTTTTTTGATTTAGTATTAAATTTCCTTTCCAAACTTAAGGTTAATTCCTGGGGCCTTTCCTTGTCTTGTCATCATTGACAATGGGCAGTTCTGGTCCTGTTGGTCATCTGGCAGGAGCTGCAGATCTCCACTCTGAAACTGTGTGTTCATCCTGCAGTGACAGCCCCCTCTCCCTCCTAGGCAGGGTAGATAGATACTCTTGTGTCTTGGAATTTGCCCATGAACTGGACAAGATTATTTGCCAGCTAAGAGGAAATAATACATTTCAGCATCCAAAACTTGTTTGGGTCATTCTGTCTTCAGGTTGTTCTATTTTGTTTCCATTTTAGTTCTGGCCAGGAATAATGGATGAACTGTCAGAGCTGAGAGAATTCTATGACCCAGACACTGTGGAGCTGATGAACTGGATTAAGTAAGAGGATTTTTTCTCTATTTCAGTTAAATGCTATTTATGTAGATCTAATGTTCTTAGTTATAGTGTTCTCCTTATTTGTCCCAGCTCAGCAGTGAACTCTGGTGACCCATGAGGATAGTCAGGGTGAGCGGGTTATCAGCAGGTTGGCTGTGAGCAGCTGTGGAGAGCAGCTCCATGCTGGGGCTCAGTGTCACTGCTGTGTTCCGTGTGCAGCAGGGCACCAGCTGATCCCTTTGCTCCCACAAGGACACAGTTCTCCCGGCCAAAAGAGGTGAATTTGGAGGTGTCAAGCTTCTCTCATCATATTATAGCTACTTTACATGAATAGACCTCTGCAGTGAAATGATTTTATTCTCCAGCCCCCACCCAACCTGTCGTTCCCAACTCTGTAAATGTTAAAAAGCTTGGAAAATTCGTACTCTGCACTCTGTTTGTGGGACTTGAAAACAATCTAAGTTGTTTCTGCTTGTTAGAATTAATCCCAGCATGTGTTCAAACTGCAAACAAAATCTTTTTAATTGAACTTGAACTTGTTACAGCTAAGCATAGGTGCAGTCTGTCAGGAGTGTGAGTTAATCATTCCAGCCCCACCTCATCAGTTCTGCTTTCTCACAGAGCATAGGAAGGTGTTTTTTAGGTGGAAACAGTTTGGAATACTTCATGTAGGAGATGCTGCGATAAAAGGCCAGGTAGGATGTTCTCTGGAGGGCTGTGAACTGCAGGGATATGTTCTCTATTAGCATAGAGCAGCCACTAAAAACTTCCAGGTTAAGTTTCTGAACAGGGATATTCCTGGGACTTGTATTTATTTGCAACTCCAGCAATTATTTTAAAAAAAGAAAATTGGTTTCATGTTATCGAGGAAAACATTTTGAAAGTAAATCTGAATATACAACATTAAATATTGAACTGTTTGAAGTATTTCCTTGGAGTATTTCCTTCATATGCAATGAACTTCAGTGAAACCAGTCACCCAGCCTGTTCTCCCCATAGCAACATATTTACACTCCATAATGTTGTATTTCTTTAATCCATAAACTAGAAGGAGTAATTTAGAAGTAAAATATATTACAAGCCTTCACTGACTTATTTTGAAAGCAGGCCATGATTTTTCCCATCATTTAGAATCTTTGCAGCCTTATTGACATGTTTTTGTGACTAATGTTTACCAGCCAGTTCCATTTAGCACTACTGTTTTATTAAAAGATGGTAAATGTCTGATAGTTCAGGTCTCCTGTGTGCAATATATAGAGTTATATATAGATTTATACATAAAATATGCATGTGGAGTTATTCCCAGCCATGAACTGGATTTGACTGGCTCCAGTGAGAATAATTTTTCATGTGTTCTTAATGCTGAGAATGCTAAACTGGTCCTTGTCATCTCTTCATTCCAAGTCATGACAGACAATTACAGAGGGGCATTTTTTTACTTGGAATTTATTGTATTTAGAAATATTATTCCTGTGAAGAAGAGTTAATTATCTGTGCTTTAAATACCAGTCAACAAAATTTATGGTAAGTTTCTCAAAGTGGGACAGATTTTGTTAAGTTTGATGTGTAAGAGAACACTTTTACTTTACCAACACTTGATGGTTGTGCTGTAGTTAATGACCTGTCAAGGCTGGTGTCAGGAACTAATCATTCATTATTAAAACTCAGTATGAAAAGCTCTAATTTGTCATGTATATAGCAGTGAATTAGGAATAACTCATCTGTCTTGCAATCTCTCCACAACAAGAAAACCCTTCTGTCTGCATAGTTCTAAATGCATATTAAGTTGTCCAAATATACAATCTGAATAATGGCCAGCTATTAGTCTGTCCCCTGTGAAGTGTCTGCAGATGCATTTCTTACTCTTCCCCTCACTAAAATTGCCACAGCATTTTCAGGAAGATCTACTGCTTTGTATCTGTACAATTGCAGAGCACAAGTTTTTCCATAATGATCTTGCATATCCCAGTCTTCTGCTTTTTTTCCTACCCACCGTCTCATTTTCTTAGCTTTTTTTCAACAAAAAAGTCAAGAATCCAATGCTCCAGGGATAGTTCACAGTTCTGTTCCCAGCTGGGAGGTACATTAAGATTCTTAGTTTTGGTCTTTCTCCCTAAGACAACAGGAACAACATGCTCATTTGTGAGATGGGGAAGAATATCAGTAGAATGAGCAAATCAATAGCGTGAACTTCCCTCTCTGTTTACTCCTGGTAAGTGCTAAAGAAGCAATGACTTCTGCCTTTAAAGGGGAAATCTGTCTACAGTTGTGCAATATATCAGTAGCAGTTGCCAAAACTCACAGAAAAAGTTCTTAAAAATCTTGGGCAACAGCCAAAAACAATGGAAAAGTTAACTGAGACTGAGATTGAGCAGAGCATGGTTGGATGTCAGCTGTACCTGAACCAGGTGTGGGGACAAACAGGCAAATTTTTATATTAGTGGAAACCCCACAAATTTCCAAAAACTTCCTCAGCTTATGCAAATAAAACACCCATGTTTCAATGGCAGTTCTTTCTTAGTAATTTATACTAATTTATGTTAATGTCTATATTTTAATTTCAAGCCAGCTCTAAAGTTTAACTCTATTACTTACATTCCTGATTTTCAAGGGTAATCACACTGAAATCAACTTGTGTTCCAGACTTTAAAGGCAATATTACACTTTTTTTTAAAATTATTGTTCTTAAATTCTTGGGCTTTTGTTGGACAGACATGTGAGTAAATTTCAGGCATGAACCTGGGAGTGCTGACAAATAGGTTTATAGCAGCTGTGTAGGTGCACTCCTTTATGTGAGCATAATCTGCATGCATAAAATTGAAGCTGGGATTCACATCTTGTTGCTCTTTCTTTGTGACTGTCCGTTTCCATTTTTGCAATTTTCAGTCTTTCCAAACCAGAGGGAAAAAAAAGAACCATGACAGTATGCCTGAATATGCTTTACTGCCTATCATCTGCAGCTAAATCTGTGATGTTTTAATATTGCATTCTGCAAATAAAAAGATTTTCTTTTAAAGAAAAAGAAAAATCTATCATGGCATATTCTTCAGAATCTCCTTTTCTCAAATCCTTTCACTTTGTTGATTCATACCATACTCAGGCACTAGTAAAGGAATAATCTGTGACTTGTTAGATTTTATGGCTTTGAAAGTCAACTCCAAGGCTCAAGTCTGGAGGATTTCTACCAGAAATAGCCATTTTATTTCTGATGATATAACCTGTAATTGCAATGTTGGCCATTTCTTCCTTAGTGCTTCCTAAAACCACGACACAATAATTCTTTAGTATTTTAAGAGAAAGAATTACTACCACTTTCAGAGGCTGTGCAAGTGCTTCCTGTAAAACCCTTTTATTTTTAATGAGTTATTCTTTCGTATTTATATAATTCTCTAAATTCTTAAGTGTAAGGTAAAGAAAAGGTTCCTACACTATAATATAGTGCTTAGTTTACCCATTAGCTCAGCTGTAATTAACTTGTTGAAAGCTTAGAGCTTCAAAAATAAATGAGATTATTTGTTCAAAATGCCATCAGGTCTGCTTGGAATGGCATTTAAATTATATAATGTAAATCAGTTTGACCTGTAAGTCCTTGTCATTATTTAGTGACATTTCCTAGAGAATAAATTGTTTGCAGGTTGGGCAGTGTGGTATGGAGCTTGGCAGAGAGCTATAAAAACAAATTATCCTTTCATTTTATACATCATTTGCTGAGACAGTTGTAAAAATGGTTTGGTTTTAGAGTAATAGAGAAGTGTCACTCAGGGTTTGCAGCACAGGAGGTGCCCTGGCTGCAAGTGCCTGGCTCAGGCAGGAGCATCCCTGGCTTGCAGGAGCCATGCTGGCCCTGGGAATGCTCCTCAGGGCTCCTGTGTCCCCAGAACTCAGCAGGGGCACCCACAAGAGCTCATGGGGAGGGAATTGGACAGGGCAGACACTGCCTGGGGCTCTGTGTCACCTCCCAAGGTCACCTCCCAGCTCTCTGCCCTGGCACTGAAATCCAGCACTGGTGCTCCTGGCAGTGCCACTGCAGCACAGGGAAAGAGGGGTTTCAGTATCTCCTGCTGCTCTGGAACACCTGAGCTGCCCAGTAAAACATGCACAGTGATGTGTCTGAAGGAGAATCATTTCCTAGGACTTCAGACCTGTAAATCTCAGGGAAACATCTGCCTTTACCTGGAACACCAGATCTTAAACTCCACCCCGACCAAAGCACTTAAGGCAGTTGTTTGAAAAGCAAGCAAGGGTCACTTGACTGTCTGCAAGGGACAGGGAGAGCAGGAAGTGCTGGCAAAACTCCTTCTGTCTAGTAAAGATGCAACTCAGCTGTATTTCACCCCTTCTGGGCAGGAGTGAATGCTCTTGGAAAGGGGAGGAATGGAGCCCTGAATCCTCTGCATGATCCATTTTCTGAGGGGAGATGCCCTGGGGGCTGCAGCTCCAAGCTCTGCTCCCTGTGACCAGAGCAGGCTCAGGCTGTGATCAGGGAAAGGTTCTGCTTCCCCCAGAGGTGCTGGCACTGCCAGGGAATGGGCACAGCCCTGAGGCTGCCAGAGCTCCAGAAGGGTTTGGACACCAGGGATGGACAGGGGGCATTGGGACAGGGATTGGACTGGATGAACCCTGTGGGTCCCCTCCAACTCACTGTGTTCTGTGATTCTACATTTTTGACAAGCATTTTTACCAGTAGGTTATTAATAAAGGGCACAATCACCTTTAGCTTTCTTTTTAAAGAGCCTGCAGGATGGTTTGGCTTTTTTGTTTGTTTGATTTTTATCCTGTGGTTTTGCCTCTGGTCCTTGTTGGGAGGGGCTGTGTGAGTGGGTTTAAGAAAGTTTGAATCTGCTGCAGAGCCCATTATAATGCAAATCTGCAATCAGAAGAGCAGGGTTGCCCTGGTAAGGCCAGACAGATTTTAAAATTTGAACTAATCTTGAACAACCACAGAAACCTACTTGTCACATTAGAAGTTGCCTGGCCCAGGCATAAACAGAGGAACATGTTGAAGCTGCTTTAAGCATCATCATTTTTATTTGGGTGTCTGAGCTCTCCCAGTCCCTCGGTGAGTCCAGCCCGTGTCCTTTGCAGCTCAGTCCTGCACACTTGTGCTTTCCCACAGCTCCAGGGAAATCCTGCCTGACAGCCTGTCAGGGCCACCCCATTTGCATAGTACTAAATTCTAACAGGAATTAATTTATTTTAATGGAACATGTACTTCACGACACTCGTGGCTTTGAATATTTTAAGTAATAAATAATTTCTTAACAGATTAAATATTTTCAGGCTTTAAAATGAAATTGGTTTTATAAAGTGCTGAAGGACTGGTCTATCAGGAAAGTTAAACTGACCTATTAAAATACTGGCCTTCCTAGATGAGATTAATGTACCAGCACAAGATTTTTTAGGAAGGATTTGTAATTATTAATTCATTTGCTAAGCATAATCTCTTGAAAGGCGATAATAAAATTTAATCCTTGTCTCAACATTTTCAAGCTGATCATGGAGCTTAAAGATGACTGAGTGTGTAGCTGCAGTTTCCAAGGCTCCCTGAAGTGCACCCCAAAGTGTCACAGTTACTGCAGTACTTTAGTGTGTGCATGGGGATGTTAGGCACCTATTCACATTCTAATTCCATTTTAGTTGATTTGATGTGTGCTGCTTTCTGTTGGTTTAGTCTTCCCAGACCCTTGCATGGTTATGTGCCTGCTAAGCACTAGAAGACACTTCAGCATACTCTGGCCAGTTCCAATTAGCCTGATTACAGGAGTGTCCATGGCCTGGCATTTTTACTCTTTCTTTTTGCTCTGCCCTTCTGTTGTGTCTTTGCAAATATTTTAGATTGTAAACTTGTTGGGAAGAAGGTGAGCAAAATAATTATTTTCATTATTGGTACTTGAGTGATCTTGAGATACCAGGACTGCTATTTGGAATTTCAAAGGTTACAGTAAAATAAGTGACAGCACTGTTCTGACATCTTCTGCATCCCCCTGCCCCAGCTTTTTTGCTACTGGAATTTCCTTTTTCATAGTTTCTCTCCCACAGCTGTCAGAATAGGAAGAGTAATGTCTCATGGAACAAAGTTTTTGTTCCAAGTAAATGGTGAATGCCAGGACAAGAACAGAGAGTTTTACCACTGAGATTAAATAATTCATTTTATGTAAAGTACCTTATATTTATCAGACTGAAACTTAAGTCACAGTAAGTTTCTTGAAATATTAAAATAAATAGAATATAGAAACCTACAAATATTCAGAGGCGTTATGAACCTGAGATAGATATGAAATGCAGAAATAGTTTGAAATTGTTAGGATCATGTTTTCCCTAGATTTCCTCATAGTGCTTAGTAAATTTTTTATTTGCAGTTGAGTGTTATCATAATTTATCCACTTGGCATTTGAAGCAAACAGTTGCTTGAACAGTTTGCTCCTTGAATAGAGGAGAAGCAGAAAAATACTTTTGCAGTCTTTTTTTTCCTTCTGATCTGTCCCAAGCATTGCAAAAATGCCCCTGCAGAGACTTCCTCAGACTTATCAACATTTGTTTAGGTCAAACACTCCCAACACAGCAGTGTTTGCTGGGAGCATGCAGCTGTTGGCAGGAGTCAAACTGTGCACTGGACGGACCTTAACCAACCACCCCCACTATGAGGATAAGAATCTGAGAGAGAGAACAAAGCAGGTAAGAGATTTCTGATTTTTTATAGTAATCCTTGCCCATGTCACTGACTCCACTCCAGAACACAGTAATGTCCTCATGGCACACTGCAAAAGGCATTGTGTGCTTTACTCATGGATAACTCACTGTAAGGCACAGACCCAGGATTTAACTGCTTTGGGATCTCCTGACTCACTTCTGGCAGCAGCTGAGTGTCTGAGCAGCTCTGTGCCCAGCTAGCCCCAAGGGCACTGCTTTGGCTACTGTGGCATCAGTAGATCCTGGTGCCCACTTGGGCTGTTAAACCTACATGGAGCATTCCCTGATACTCCCTTCAGTTCCCAGAGCAGCACAAGCATTGATATAGAAACCACCCTGCTGGGAGACTGTTTTCACCTACCCTCTCTGCACTTGAGACATTCGCAAAGCCTGACAGCACCATCCAGTGATGTGTACCCCAGCAGCATCCTCACCATAACGCACATCTCCACATGGGGATTTTACTGAATAAAGCATTTATAGGTTGTTTCTATAATATTTAATTCACATGGTTTCTTGTCGCAGACATCTTTTCATGAAAATCCTTTCTTTAGGATTTTTTCCTCCTGAGAAGCTGAGAGGCCTCAGGAACAAATGTAAACAATGGTTGTCTGCTGCTGTGGAATGCAACAGGTGCATCTGTGATTGGTCTTATGTGCTTGTTTCTAATTAATGGCCAATCACAGTCAGCTGGCTCGGATAGAGAGTCTGAGACAGCTGCCTTGTCATCATTCTCTTTCTATTCTTAGCTTAGCTAGCCTTCTGAGTGAAACCTTTTCCCTATTCTTTTAGTATAGTTTTAGTGTTATATATATCATAAAATAATAAATCAAGCCTTCTGAAATATGGAGTCAAATCCTCGTCTCTTCCCTCATCCTAAGACCCCTCTGACCACTGTAACAGTTTCTCAGTGCCAGTTCTTTGTTTGGCTCAAGATAGAGCTCAGAGCAAACAGAGCAGCAGTGAGGGGTGCTGTGTGTGCTGTGTGTGCTGTGCTGTGCTGTGTGTGCTGTGCTGTGTGTGCTGTGTGTGCTGTGTGTGCTGTGTGTGCTGTGTGTGCTGTGTGTGCTGTGCTGTGCTGTGCGTGCTGTGCTGTGTGTGCTGTGTGTGCTGTGCTGTGTGTGCTGTGTGTGCTGTGTGTGCTGTGTGTGCTGTGTGTGCTGTGTGTGCTGTGCTGTGTGTGCTGTGTGTGCTGTGTGTGCTGTGCTGTGTGTGCTGTGTGTGCTGTGCTGTGTGTGCTGTGTGTGCTGTGTGTGCTGTGTGTGCTGTGCTGTGCGTGCTGTGCTGTGCTGTGCGTGCTGTGCTGTGTGTGCTGTGTGTGCTGTGCTGTGTGTGCTGTGCTGTCTGTGCTGTGTGTGCTGTGCTGTGTGTGTGTGCTGTGTGTGCTGTGTGTGCTGTGCTGTGCGTGCTGTGCTGTGCGTGCTGTGTGTGCTGTGCTGTGTGTGCTGTGCTGTGTGTGCTGTGTGTGCTGTGCTGTGCTGTGCTGTGTGTGCTGTGCTGTGTGTGCTGTGCTGTGTGTGCTGTGCTGTGTGTGTGTGCTGTGTGTGCTGTGCTGTGTGTGCTGTGATGTGTGTGCTGTGCTGTGTGTGCTGTGCTGTGTGTGCTGTGTGTGCTGTGCTGTGTGTGCTGTGCTGTCTGTGCTGTGTGTGCTGTGTGTGCTGTGTGTGCTGTGCTGTGTGTGCTGTGCTGTGTGTGTGTGCTGTGCTGTGCTGTGATGTGTGTGCTGTGTGTGCTGTGCTGTGTGTGCTGTGCTGTGTGTGCTGTGTGTGCTGTGCTGTGTGTGCTGTGCTGTCTGTGCTGTCTGTGCTGTGTGTGCTGTGTGTGCTGTGTGTGCTGTGCGTGCTGTGCTGTGTGTGCTGTGCTGTCTGTGCTGTGTGTGCTGTGCTGTGCTGTGTGTGCTGTGCTGTGCTGTGATGTGTGTGCTGTGTGTGCTGGAGCTGAGCTCCCCTGTTGTGCAGATCTACCAGATCTATGCCAAGCGCTCCCCAGGGGAGGTGCACGGCATCCTGCGCTCCTTTGGCACGGACTACGTGATCCTGGAGGACAGCATCTGCTATGAGAGGCGCCACAGCCGCGGCTGCCG